CCAGCGTTGAAATCTCGCAGTCAAATATGACACAGATCAAGGAATCTCTACTAGAGATAAAATTCGTGATGAAACAAAACTTCCCTTACTACCAAACGGAAAGTGCAGCCTACACGTGGGACGTGATGATTGGGACTGTGGGTGGGATGTTGTCCCTGTGGTTGGGTATCACCGTGGCTAGTGCAGTAGAGATCGTGGAGTTGCTGTACTTGCTGGTCAAGAGTTACCATAGGAAGAGAAGTTCAGGTTCTGCGAGGATTAATAGCGTAGCGAATACGGAAAATTCAGATGTCGTAGAGTCGAATTTTGTTGAGAAAATTAAAAATTAACTCTCCGTAAACTTCAAAACGATTTTTTTTTTTCATATAGAATCAGATTCTAAACCATAAAAATCTGTCTTAATTGACACAATCTTTATCCAAAAAAAATGTATCTGTTGAGGTGTTTTAAGAATAAATTTGTTTTATATAATTAAACATCATTCATGCTCGTTTCAGCGGTAAAAAATTTTTTCAAATCATTTTGTATCTGATCTTAATATACTTGTAACAACATTTGACTTCTAGTTTTTTGCATTTTTCATTATAAATTAATTCCTTTTTGCCTATTACGGTGTTGTATTTTACATTATTCAGTCTGTTAGTAGGATGCTTAACACTTTTTGAAGATCTTATAACAACTATTTACATTTTACAATTTCAATTTTGGCAATAAAATATGGAAAAATTTATTAAATCACGTTTAATTGCTAATATTGCTGCTGCCACAACTGATAATACAACCACAACCACAACAAACCAACCACTACTGTTACTACTACTACTACTACTACAACAACAACAACTACTACTACTACTACTACCACTTTTACTACTACTACTACTACTACTACTACTACTACTACTACTACTACTACTACTACTACTACTACTACTACTACTACTACTGTCTGTACTAATTGCATGTCTGCAAAAAACATTGACTCTGGCATTATAAATTTAATAATAAATCGATGTCTAATGAATGAACGAATGTCTAAATGTCTTAAAGTTTGACTTTCTGAATGAATGAGGGAACGAATGAATGAATGAATGAATATGAATGAATGAATGAACGAACGAACGAACGAACGAATGAATGAATGAATGAATTATGAGGTGGGTGAAAAGTTGGCCCAGTAGGGCATATGAACATGACAATGCCCGCTTACAAAGGCATCATCGATTAGCGTATTAAAAACGTTAATATTTCATTAGACGATGCAATTTCGCCTACAGTTCAACATGCATATTGTCATACTGCTCGCTCTTTGCCATTTTACGACGATTACAGTACGAACAACGTAGTTTGTTCTTAGGGAAATTCTTTCTGTTTCTGTAAACTCACTCGCTTAACGTTAAATAACTCAAAATTAGTTCATGTACGTAAAATAATGACAGATGACTTTAATTGACGACTTAGGTGTGTTGAGTATCAGTCAGTGTTTAAAATGTTATAAAGTTTAATAACTGAAATTGAACGAGAAACGACTCACCCACTATTGTTAATAATTATTTTTTGTTGTTTAATATTATAACAAAACATGAACTATAAAATTGAATATCGCTTATAAAAATAATGTAAAGATCATCAAGGAGTGTTCAAGTGAGAGTGTGTTGAGACATAAAATGTGTTTAAGAGATAACTAAGATTACTCCCTTTAATTTATGTACTCGCCTATTATTATATACTAGAAGACCACGCTCCCTAGCTTTAGCTTAACTAGTTGTTTAACTCCTTCTAACCAGTCAGTCCCTATTGTATCGAAAGCGATCAATTGTAAGCAATCGTGCGGAGTACCATGCCAGGAAACACTGTACGAAACTTATCTAACATCTGCTGCCTGGCTCCAGCCTGCTGTTCAATTCGATCTTTTTGAAAAATATATTAAAACGAAGTGTGAGAGTGTAAGAGAGGTAAGGTCGAGGTATGCCAAGTACTACGGTACTAGCAACGCTACCGGCGCTCAAATACCAATCAAAAAGTTGACAGAAATTCCAGAATCATTCGTTGAGATAAAATTCGTCATGAAGCAAAACTATCCGTATTACCAGAACGACAGCCAGGCATATCCGTGGAACACGATGATCGGATCAGTGGGGGGATGTTGTCCCTGTCCCTTTGGTTGGGTGTGACAGTGGCTAGTGGAGTGAAAGTCCTCGAGTTGATCTACCTGCTTATCAAAAGCTCTTTCAAGAAAACTAAGCCGACTCCAAAAGTTGAAAAGACTACTAAGATTAATTCTTTCGCAAAATCGTCGACGAAAGTTGTAAAGTCTAATAAAATTACCGTCATCGGCAGAGGTCCAGCAAGTAAAAAATAATTCCTGAAAATTACTCCAGGTGTCAACACTGAAAATAGTTTGCCAGTTAGCGTTTTCTAGCCGACCAGAAACATTAACATTAATGACTGTACACTTAATTTTTTTATTTCTTGATTTATTATTTCTCAATTATTTATTCGTAATTATTTTATCGTAAAAATCAATTAAAATGCGATTGAAATAGTTAATAACCTAACAAAGTTACTCACAAAGTTACATTCGGCTTCTCCACACATTTGAATGTCAAAATTTTTTTGAAAAGCGACTTCGAAAATTTTATAGTGAGAAGTTTTACTTATTTTTTAGCATTTCATAAAATAAAACTTCAAATGAAAAAAATAATAAAATGAAGAAGGAAACGGAGAATACGTAGCTGCTAATAAAGTTAATACACCCAATGGTGCCAATACTAGCAACTCATAGCGATGCAGTACTGAAAGAATAACCTGACAGTATTGAAAGTTTATAAAAATATTATCAGTAGTATTTATTTAACAAGTTAATTATTACTATTATTATTATCGTCGTTATTAGTATTGTTGTTGTTGCTAGTATTATTCTTCCGAATTATGAAAAAAAAAGTTCCTTCTAAAATTGTTTTCTTCGCAACAAACAAATGAAAAATTTACGTATGAAAAATATAATGGGATTTATACAATGGCAGCATAAACAACATCATAAACAATATTAACAACAACAACAACAACAACAACAACAACAACAACAACAACAACAACAACAACAACAACAACAACAACACAACAACAACAACAACAATGACAACAACAATAATAATAACAATAATAATAATAACAATAATAATAATAATAATAACAATAATAATAATAATAATAATAATAATAACAATAATGATAATAATAATAATAATAACGAGCAATGTTTAAAAGCAAATTTATTTATTTGTCGAAAGAAATTGACCGAAAAAATTTCCTTCAAAAACAAAAAAAATGTATATATTGTCTTCACCATGGTAACACACAATAAATTCTAGAAAATAAATTCAAAATAAGCAAAATATAATTCAAATTTTTCGCAAGAGAAATTATTCTTTCTCCATCGTTCGATACGACTTTTCCAATTTTGACGATTTTATTAAAAATTTCATTCCAACATTTTCACGTTCGTGTTGTTGTTGTCGTTGGTTATATTCATGTCTATGTTAATGTTGTCGTTGTTGGTTTCTTACTCACACACAAACACACGCAAGCACACGCGCACACACACGCAAGCACACACACACGCGCACACACACACGCAGGCGTAACTAATGGATGTAAGAGCAAAGGCAAAGGAATCTAGTCAATATTGGATTTGCATTTAAAAAAATTGTCTGCACGTACTTAGGTAGGCCGAGAGTCACGTGATTCGGATGGAAAATATGAGTAAAAATAAAAACAAGAATAATAGTAAATTGTTTTTTGTCACAACACCATTGACAACAACAACAACAACATCATCAACAATAACAACATCATCATCAACAACAACATCGTCATCAACAACAACAACAACATCATCATCATCATCAACAACAACAACAACAGACAGATATATGAAGAAAAACATAGATGAATACATAAACAAATGAATGAATGAATAAATAGATAAATGAATAAAATGGTGAATGAATAAATAGATAAATGAATAAAAGGGTGGATGGATGGATGGATAGATTTGGAGGATTGGAGAAAACAATTTTTTTTACTTTTTTGGGACTTTCTGAAAATTAAAAACAATTCATCATTAATCATTTTAATTGAACTTTATTCTCAATTATTTTATTAAAATAAGTTTTTAATTGAAACAAAAAGCTTCAGCCATAACAACAAAATATCTCCAATATAACTAAATTTGTTCACTTCAAAACAATCATACACACCAAACGAACGAACGAAAGAACGAACAAACAAACGAACAAACATACATACATACAAACAAACAAACAAGCAAACTTACTGTGAAAAAGCGACAAACATTCAAAGAGCTCCGTCCAAACCTACTCCCACCAGTTACATAGTACTCGCACTTAATTTCAATAACTTTCTGACCGGTAACACTCGTCACGTTCTTCTCAATATTAAACCCAGTACAATTCAAAGTTTTGAGACACCTCCAAGCACAAAGGGCCGCATCAAGCACGCAATTCATGGCCCCGTTTAGATGAAATACGTACTGATAAGTAGGGTGCGAAACTAAGCAGCTGGAGTTTTTTACTGGAATAAAACTACTTAATAAATTGGTAGCAAAAGTTGTTGCAGTTGCTGTTGAATTTGGAGAAGCTTGTTGTGATGAAGCTTTGGATGATGAAATAATGATGACGAAGATGGAGAAGATGATGATGTTGTTGTTGGTGGTAGGAGTGTAGGAGTGGCTGGTTGGCTGGGAGTTCCTTGAAGGGTCTGGCGACATATTCAGTTTGGAGTGTGTTAATAATTTCAGAATCAATCTCTTCAACTCAATAACTTTTAAAACTTCAAATTAGATTTTTTAACATTAGCGTTAGATTTTTTTTCTCAGTAAATTTTCTGCTATTTTTTTTTAATTTGAACAAAATTTAAATAAAAATTGTACGTTTTTAAGACTTAAAAAGCGCTCTTTCTATTGTTATATGGGTTCCGCATTCATTATATAAATATATATATATATATATATATATATATATATATACGTATATACGTATATATATATATAATACATAAAGTATGGTCATTTATATGTATGTAAACTATATATATATAGCATATAAGTATACATGATGTATGTATTTATATGTATATGTATATATATATATATATATATATATATATATATAACAAAAAGCTAGATGATTTTAAGGCTCTGTCTTGGTGTTGCTGATGTAGTTATTACAGATTTATATTTAAAAAAAAAATTATTTTTTTATATATGTGTCAGTGTGTGTATCTGTATGTGTGTGTCTGTATGTGTGTGTGTGTGTGTGTATATTTGTGTGCTTGTGTGTTTTTTTGTGTGTGTATTTGTGTGTTTGTGTGTGTACGTGTGTTTGTGCGTGTATGTGTATGTGCGTAAGTAATCAACAAGTGGTTTTTTAACAATATTGAATCATCCTTTTGTTCATATCGTTAAAAACTCGTTCAAATCAATAATTTGTTAGCATTATATTAACCAATCAAATATTAATAATAATTAATAATAATAACAAATAAATAATAATAATTATATATAATAATAAACAATAACTCTTTCTCATATATACACATTATAAACCAGAGTTAACGTATGCAAACACATACACAAACATGTTCAGTGCTTTGATAGTTAATAGAAAATAATAAAAAAAATTATTATTAATAATAATTATTATAATTATATATAATAATTATAACTATAATTATTATTATTATGATTTGGCGCAAAACGCCTCTTTGCATTTGCAGCTCTTTACCCACATGATCAGCATGTTGATAGTAGTCGTCGTGCTATTATTATTATTATTGTTGTTGTTGTTGTTGTTATTGTTGTTGTAGTTGTTGTAGTAGTTGTTGTTGTTGTTGTTGTTGTCGTTGTTGTTGAGATTGCAGTTGAAATCCACGGTTAATGTCTTAGTTTGATCGGGTAGACAGCATCTGTCAATACAATTGTTGGCGACATTTTGTTTTGTTGATAAAAATTGCGTCAACAAAAACAACAACAACAACAACAACAACAACAACAACGACGACGACGACAACAACAACAACGACAACAACGACAACGACAACAACGACAACAACAACGACAACAACAACGACAACAACAATAGGTCACCTATGCTTCTTGCACGTACTACAATACTTAGGTTTGAAATCCTTAACGCTGATGCAGTTGTTGTGTTTGTAGCGTATGGGAGAATCCTGCCTCCAAGTATTTTTGCATTCCTTGCCTTCCTGGTTTGATGATTTATCATAATTTATTCATAATTAGTTATAATTATTCATAATTTATTCATAACTTGTAATAATTACTCATAATCTATTCAAAATTAGTTACAATTACTATAATTATTTATAATTAGTTATAATTATAAATAATTATGAATAGTTAATTCGTAACAAGTTCTTGACGATGTGTATATGGTAATGAATATCGCTATTGATATGCTAAGATATATCGCTATTGATATGCTAAGACAATGAAAGAAAATACAATAGTTATACAGTAGGAACAAAGTATAAACACGTACACACGCACGCACTTAACGACGGAACAACATCTCAAAATAGACAGAAGCCATAATAAAAATGCATAACAATTTAATGTGCCCACTAAGTGATATATAAACACCATATTAAAACCATAGTGTATGCACATTGTATGCGCGCGTGTGCGTGCGTGTACATTTGTGTGTGTGTGTGTGTGTGTGTACATCCAACAAAAATAAACTTTAACAAAACAACCATCCACTTTATATCGGGCAAAAACACATTATTAGCCACAAACACACACTTTGTACTAACACATATCCTCACACATACACACACGCATACACACACACATATACACACACATACATACGTACGTACGTACACACAAACATCTGAAATACATAATTAAAGATCAGTAGATAGACAACCACGCTCGGACAGGTATCGATTTTTGTAGCTGGAATGGGAAAAAAAGAAGGCAATGATGGATGCGTCGTGCGTGTCTGTGTGTGTGCGTGTCTGTGTGTGTATGTCGGTGTGTGTGTCTGTGTGTGGGTGTTATTCGGTGTCATGTATGTGTGTGTGTGTGTGAATGTATGTATGTTGGTGTTTTTTTTTGTGTGAAAGTGTGTACGTATGTGTGTGTGAATGTATGTATGTTTATATAAATGTATGTATGTACGTATGTGTGTGTGTTTGTATGTATGTTTTTATGAATGTATGAATGTATGTATGTATGTATGTATTGATGAGGGATGGATGGATGATGTTCGAATGGTAATGTCACTAATGACGTTTGGATGCTGATGGTTGTGATGTTTAAGATGATGATGACGATGATGGTGACAAACAGTAAACTAACAACAACACACAGACAACAACAACAGCAAAATCAACAAAACAACAACAACGACGACGACGACACAGGCAACAACAGCAACAACTTCCAATGCACATAATATTTTTGTAATTGAGATCGCTGGGTTTTAGAAATCAACGCTAGCCAAAAAACAACAATAACAACAACATCATCAACAACAACAACAACAACATCAACAGACAACAACAGACAACAAATAAATGATAAAAATTGAATGTAAATAAAACTGACAGTGTAAAAACTCTGCGTTAAAATGGGCACCAGTCAAATTAAAAAAGTTTAATTTGGTTTGAGGTTTGTTTAACTTTTTTTCCATCACAACATCTTTTAAAACAAAAAACCAACAAACAAGCAACAACGAAAACAAAAACAAAGCAACAACAACATAAGAAACAAAACAACAACGCCAACAACAACACAACCAACAACAGTAACATCAACAACAACAACAACAACATCAACAACAACATCATTAACAACAACAACAACAAACAAACAACAACAGTAACATCAAACAAACAACAACATCAACAATAACAAACAAACAAAAACAACAATAACAACAACTTACCAGATGTTTATCATTAAGATCACAAGGCCTTATAAGACACAATCTCTTCTCGATCACATATTGTTGACATGTCTTTCCTCCGATGAAGACCTTTCTCTCGCTCCAGCCCACTCCACAAGTTAATGAACAACCTGTCCATTCCATTGTTGTTCTCATTGTTGTTGTTGTTGTTGACGACGACGACGATGATGATGTTGTGGATTCTAGTGAACAGTTTGTTGGCTGGGCTGTTTGGGCAAGTTTTTCTAAGTATGTACAATCATAGGAAAGTTGTATACATCTGCTAATGAATGTCATGGTTGTAATTAAATAAGCAACATTAGAAAAAGAACAAAAGTAAACGAAACAAGCCACACACACGCACACAGACACACACACACATACACACACATACAGACATACACACATACACACACAGACAAACAAATAAACACCCACCCATATCTAACTCAAACGTCTCGGCATCGTGATGATTAACAATTCCATTAACATCATCATCCTCATCATCGCTTAGTGACGATGGTGATGGAGAAGATGACGACGACGATGAGAATAACCTGCCAGCATCAGCAACCTTGCGACGACCTTCACCTCTTCTACTCTCTCCCTGGTCACCGTGGTAACAAATCCACTCGCGACAACACCTGTTAGTCACGGGGACAAGTTGTGGATGCGGGCAGTGTTGAGAAGATGGAAGGATATCCTCCGACGGACACAGAGAAGAGCAGACGTAGTGGCCGTCCTGACAGCTACACACGCGACTGCAGTTCAGGTTGAAGTGCATGCCATCTTCGTACCAAGCAGAGCCTACTTTACAGCCACGACTTTTGTTTGCTGGGTTGTAGTTTGTTGTCGTTACGTTATCATTTGTGGTGGGCTGAGGTGATGTCATTGTTATTGTTGTAACGTGAAAAAAAAACAAATACAAATTTAAAAAACACCAGAAAAATCAAAAAACCAAAAACCCCCAAAAAATTGAAAAGCAAAAAACTTACAGCGACAAACACCTCTGGCTCCACCATCGAGAATGAAACTGCAAAAATAACCCTTAACTTGATCGCACTGATTATTCCGATCACAAATATCGCCGAGCTGTCGACTGCAAGCTACACAGCAGTTGCAGCCGGCTACAGATACGGCTACGTCCGTTTTAGTCGCTAAGCTGGAATCCGAGCTAGAGTTGAAAGCGGCTATAGCGGAGTTACAAGCGTTGATGATGGATTGAGTGCATGTGCATTTTTGTAAGCATTCTAATGTGATGGGCTCTGGTGGTAGTGAATGTAAGAAATTTGTGGGTAGTGGTGATGTGTTGTTGTTGCTGTTGTTGTTGTTGCTGTGGATGTTGTTGCTGTTGTTGTTGTTGCTGTGGATGTTGTTGCTGTGGATGTTGTGGTTGGGATTCAGATTTGACGATGTTGTTGCCTTTTTTGTTGAAGAAGACGACGACGATGATGACAACGACGGCGATGATGAGGAAGAAAATGATGAAGAAGAAAAAGAAGATGACGATGATGAAGAAAATGATGGAGATGAAGAAGATGATGATGAAGAGGAAGAGGAAGAAGAAAAAAGAGAAGAATGGGATGACGCGAATGCGCTCTGCGTTCTAATGTAGCGATTATTTTTTTTGTTTCGCTTGGTGCGTCGTTCATCGGACGGTGGCAGTACGCTATTGTGCTGCTGCTCCTCTTCCTCCACGCCCATGACGCTACTACTGCTGCTGCTGCTACTACTAGCTGATGATGATGATGATGAAACATTTTCTACGCCATCATCATCATCGTCGTCATTATTTTTATTGTTATTTATATTATCTTTGTTTAAGCGTTGGCTGATATTATGTAGAGATGTTGTTTGTAATGGAGGTGACGACGAAGACGACGACGATGATGATGATGATGATGATGACGATGATGATGATGATGATGATGACGATGATGATGATGATGATGATGACGATGATGATGATGATGATGATGACGATGATGATGATGATGATGACAGCAGCGATGATGAATACGGCAGCAGCAACGACGACGAAGACGATGACGACGATGATGATGCAAATAATAGCATAATTATCGCCCAGGAGAGCAAGATGACGTCTGTAGATAGCCTAGTCGGCGTCAAATATGACGCATGCGATGAATGAATTGCTGCTGTTTTCAAAATTGTTGTTGATAATGACGTCATTTTTGTTGACGTTGATGCTGCTGCTGTTGCTGTTGCTGCTGCTACAGTGGATAATGGCGTCATCTTTTTCAAAGTTGTTGAGGATGCTGACCGCGTCATTTTTGACGATGGTGAATGTGATGATGACGTAAGTGACGGTGATGATGTTCTTGCTGCTGCTATCCCGGTTGGCTTTGATGTCCTGATTGCGGAAGATGATGATGCTGGCGAAGATGACTATGACGTGGAAGATGGATCCATAATTGGCGTCAGCCAGCGAGAAAATAATTTGAATGATGGAGAATAAAACATGGGCGATAATGAAGGTAGAGGCGATGATGGAGACGATGATGACGATGATGACGAAGATGTTGACACTGTCATTTCTGGTCTCCTTTAAGTCAAGTTTGCGTCATAAAGTCAACGTGTCACGCTATGATAATAAGTGAAAGAAAGTATGAAAAAAATTACTAAAATGCTTTCTATTTTCATACTCTCATCATGGAAAACAACTTACGTGTCTAATATAATATGGAGGCCATGTTTTTTCTTCTGCGTCAGTGTTTGTTTTGTTTTGTTCGCGCTGAATCTTTTTCTAGAAAATTCTTTATGACGTCATTATCATCATCGTATCATCGTCATCGTCGTCGTTAATTTAACAAAGTGGATGATTATAGACGTGCCATGGTGATGTCTTTTCTTGACCTGGCGAATTACAAAATTATGATTCACTCGAATAATTGTTTAAAATATAACAACAGTTATTCATAATACTTAAAAATATTTATAATTTGAAAGGACATAATAATTAACGAATTAATACATTTTTATCGGCATATAACCTCATGAACATTGAAGAACAAACAGAAAACGCTAAAAACAATAAGAATATTAACAACTGAAACAGCAGCAACAATAATAATTCAAATACCTATAACATTAATAATAATAATAATAATGATAATAATAAATAATAATAATTAATAATAATTATAATAAATAACCAGTGAGAAATGCCGTTGTTGCAAATATTTGCATTGGACGCGCCCGTATAAATATAAATGTTCTCGTATGTGTATATGTATGTGTGTAAATATATATATATATATATATATATATACATATATATATATATATGTATATATGTATATATATATACTTATAGATACCTATAGATATAGATAAAAAGTCAGAAATGCAATATATATATATTATTTATATTTATATGTTGGTAATAGACCATAATTTTTAAAATATTCTATAAATTCTACCGAAACATTCGGTAGAAATTATAGAATATTATATTTATATATATATATATATATATATATATATATATATATAGTAAAAAAGTGCTAAATAGTGAATTCGATCAAATATCCGAATTCGGCCAAACCAAAAAACCCCAAAATTTTGAAAAAAAATTATATTTTAGAATGAAAGGCAAACGTTTGAAATAGACAGGAGACAATTTACGTCCTACAAGAGTTCTTCGTCGAGGTATCATTCAACCTCTCTTGTTTGAATCCAGATGTCTCAACAGCTATGATGGCCAACAAAATTTCTCACTAATGATATAGAAAATGTCATTGCCCTGGAGTCAGTAACAGATGCGCTCTCATATATACAATACATATTCGATGTATGTATATTATATTATGAATGAGTGAATGAATGAATGAATGAATGAATGAATGAATGAATGAATGAATGAATGAATGAATGAATGAATGAATGAATGAATGAATGAATGAATGAATGAATGAATGAATGAATGAATGAATGAATGAATGAATGAATGAATGAATGAATGAATGAATGAATGAATGAATGGATAAATAGATGGATGGATAAATGTTTGAATGAATTACTTAATAAAATGGTAGAGTATACACATTGAATGAATAGAAAAATGTTATTAGACGGATGAACGATGAAAATGAATGATTGAACAAACGAAGGAATTAAAAATGAATGAACCAAAAATTGAGATTAAAGATTAAACACATAAACGAATGAACGAACGAATAAAAAAAAGCAATGAAAGAATGACTGACTGACAGTTTTTAAATCCTTTTCTACATGTTATCAGTCAGAAAAAATAACTTTTTGTATTAATTTTTACTGGACGTTTTTGTATTTTAGTGCGTTCATACACACAAACACACACACACACACACGCACACACACACACACACACGCACACGCATGCACACACACACAAGCACAACATTGTGTAATATTAATCCTTTCAAAATGACGATCAGCCAGGACAGAACCTTATAGATATATGTATACATACATGCAAGCATACTTACAAACATACATACAAACAATGATACAAACGAACATACATACAAACGAACATACAAACAAACATACAAACATACATACAAACATACATACAAACGAACATACAAACGAACATACAAACGTATAAAGTAAGACTGGCTTCTGTACAACACCACGAAGAACATTATTGTGATAGATTATATTGTCGCCATACTGCATGTATGCATGCAACATCATCATCATCACCTTAGTCATCGTTATCACTACCATCACCAACTACCTCGTCATCATCATCATCATAATCATCATCATCACCATCATCATCGTCATCATATTACATCATTATCATCACGCAACTATGGTCAACATCATAATCGTCATCGTCGTCATCATTATCAACATCATCCTCTTCATTCTTATTCCTTTCTTCCTCGGCATCTTCAATATTCTCATCTTCATAAAACTTCCCCACAATTGAATTGAAAAATAACAACATTTGAATAAACACGTACGTATACAGAAGCGCACACGCACGCACACACACGCACACATATACATATATACGTAACTTGCATATACACACATACACCCATACTTACACACACACACACACAAACACACACACACACAAACATACAAACACACAGACGTATGCACAGATCCATCATCTTTGCCATCATTTTCGCCAAATAATTAATGTATTAATGTAATCATGACTAAATGTATTATTACTTTAATTAATAATAATAACAATAATAATAATAATAATAATATTATTATTATCGTCTTCATCATTGGATGTCATAACATCATTAAAAGTTAATATTATTATGGATGACGTTTATGGTTGTGTATGAGTGCCATGATGTTTGAAGAGATGATGATGACAACGACGACGACGATGATGATGATGATAAAAAAGGAGTGAATGAATGAACGAATGAAAGAATAAACGAATGAATGGTGAAACTGGTTACGAAATAAGAATGACAACATGATGAGAAGGATATGTTGAAAAAGAATTTATAAATAAATAGACAAACGAACGAACGAATTAACAAATGAACGAACAAATGAACGAACGAACGAACGGATGGACAAACGAACGAACGAACGAATGAATAAATTATTAATGAAGATGATATTAAAAAAAGAAAAAAAATGATAATAAAAAAATGACGCTGCTGCCAATAAAGATAGCAGTTATAATATATCCTTGTTTCGTTCAAATCAAAACGCCTCCAGGAAAGCAATGATCACTGATTTTTTCATTTCTTCCTCATATTTTTTTCTATCCGTTCATCGTCGCCATCGTCATTGTCATCATCGTCATCAGTATTTCCATCAACATCATCATCATTACTATATAACATCATCATCACAATCATCATCATCATCACC